CCTCTCTCTCTGCGTGTGTGTGTAAAAAAAGGTATTTCTAAAATGAAATAGCCATCTCTCTCCTTATCAAAAAATAAACAACAACTGTACCTCAGTCCCAAACAAGTTAGGGTCTGCTATATAAATCCTCTCTGACTACGTTACACCGTTTAAACTCATCTCATGCCAATATTATGCAAATACAAATAAAAATATTAGAAGTTCTGTATATTTTCGAAACTTATAAATCTCCGGAAGGCTAACCCCCTCCTAGAAAGCATATCACCTACGATAAAAGTGCTAATATCTAAAACATATACTCAACTAATATGTATCGCCTACATATATCTTTTTTTCATTATGCCATATCTTTTGCTAAGTCTGAATAGATTCTCAATAATTGTAGGTCCTTCGAGACAACTTCCTTTCATGTGATTTTTGATCTACCTCGTTCTCTTTTAATACCTTCATTTACCATGGTTTCACACCTATGGACTGTGCGAAGTGGTCTAACTTTGCTCTTCGTTAATATTTGGGGCCAAATGAGCCCTTGCCGTTAGCAAAAGGGTTCATCTATGACCCCTTTTTTTGTTGCTAACGGAGCATTATTTAGCTAAAACTTGATTTTAAATACAATGATTAGCACTTGGGCTGCTACATAGCTATCTTTAAAGGCACTATTTGTAACCAACCCCAGCCCCTCCTCTATTTTACCCATCCTTGACACCAACAACCACCACCTCTCCACTGGGTTACCACCATCACTCTCCCTTTCAGAAAATTCCATAATCTCTTCTTCCGAAAACACAGATTCTTAACCATCACCCAACAGCTGCTTCTTCCCAAAAATCCTATCTTCAACCAGCAAAAGCCCACTCCAAAATGTTCACCCAGAAAAAGAAAGAGAAAAAGAAACCCACCTGGAAAGCCCACGAGAAATTCATCTTCTGCCCACCAACGTTACACCACAAATGAAACCTTTCTCCTTCATTATCTCTACACATTGAAAAACCCTTCAACCTTTGACATCAACCCCCAAAAAAGCATCATCACCACCTTATAAGAACATCATAGCCGATGACCTTCGTACTCATCGAAAAAGCTTCCCCAAAAACCAATCAAAAGAAAAGAAAACTTTCCACCTTCAACCTTCCTCTCCACCACCACGAGACTAGATTTGAAAATACCACCGCCATAAACCCACTGTAAAACTCATTTTCCAGCCAACTCCTCCAAGCAGTCTACTGCTGCAACACCACTGAGACCGCCTTTCACCACCTCTAACCCGCAGGAAAAGCTTTCGCCTTTCGATGATCATTTATGTAGAAAAATGGAGTCCAAAAAGCTTTCTCCTTTTGATTTTCGAAGGGGTTCCTTTTTCGGATATTGAAAGTGGTGGGAAGATGAGAAGAAATAATAGAGAAGGAGAATNGGGGGTTGGTAAAAAATCAAGGGCTTAAATGATAGGACACATGGCATCTTCCGGTGCTAATCATGATAATTAGAGATAAATTGATCTCAAAGCTTCCGTCATTAGCAAATAAGGGCATTGGCATTTTGCATAGTTCAAGCGCAAATTTGGTCCTTTGCCCTAAAAAATAGCCATCTCTCTAGTCTTCTCAATGGGGGCTTTTAAATGAAGTATAACTTAGAAGTACCTTAAAATAAGCAAGCACATTAGCACAAAACCTAAGATGCTCTTAAAAGCCATGAATCAGCTATTCTATGCAAAGATTAATCTCCTTAAATATAATTTGTGCATATTGCAATCAAAAAACAGAAAACAATGAAAGAGTTCTGAAGAAAGAAGTAAGGAACAAGAATCAAATTGCAGCATAAGAGGATCTGCCACACCCAAAATAATAAAAAATGACAGCATCCTGATGTGATCTTCCCAGTCAATGTCCTCTATCATAATATAAGGAAAAAGTAACTTATATAATGGGGTACCTGATGGATGAACGGCTCCATTTGGCTTAATAAGTCATAACCCTACATGAAACAAGTACTGAAATTTGTTAGTTTGATGACAGAAACTTAACTGCATTAAAGAGAACATCAAAAAGACATACCAGCTTGAAGTATCTCAGATGTGCATCCATAATAGCACTAAAGGATTCTAAGAACTCGTACTTCTTTTTCGCTTCAACATTCGTGAGAGCATTTACCTGAAATCCTTGAGGACTACAAGGCTATAAACTAGAACGTAGAGGCAAGAAACTTTTGCTAGATAAGTGTAGAAAAGATTCTTGTATGCATTATACATACTAGATTGAAACGGCTTCTCTCAAAAGTGGACTTCGAGTTATGTAGGTCCTGTCACAGAACAAGTTAACGATCCTCAGTGTATTTAATTAAGCATGGCAAAATGTCCATTCCCAGTTTTGACTCCTAACTACGTAGATCATTTTTCTTGTCAGATAAGTGCTAATAGAAAAAACAGAAGGAATATATGTTCCATAAAATCCTGAATAGGATATCATTAGCACAAAAACAGCAATGGGATACACGTTAAATGCTTCAATATTAATTTATCACAATTTGTTTCCTGGAGTTGGGAGCAAAGTAAATATATGTAAAAGCTCTGAGAAATGCTTCATGAAAAAGGCTACCAATAAGTTGCCTCTACGAGCTTTAGCTGAACATGTAAAACTTTTCCTTTCATGTAGGTCATTTAACAACCAATAAAAAGGGGAACAAAGAATGGGCTACAATGTGTTTACCCAAAGCATGAGGTTTAGTTTCTTATCCCATTCCTCAATTTAATATCCCACATAAGCATTATCAGTAGCAATAAGGATGATGTGTTTACCCAAAGCATGACCGAATGAGTTTCTCATCCAGTTCCCTTGTTATACCATGACAATATCTATAAATAAATGGTAGCAATTTGGATCGTCCATGATCGAAATTCAGAAAATGAGGATGAATGTTCTTATAGTTTCTTCCCAAAGCATCACCTTTCCATCTCTATTTTTTTTTCTTCAAGGTAAAAAAGCATGCAAATGATTCCTCAGAGGTGTTCTATAGAGAAAGACCTATTGCCACCGAAGTTTGGAGATTCTCTCGGACATAATTTTATTTGGACATATAGTGATCAGGCTGCCAAGCACTTTTGGTTGGTAACTTTAGCAACATGTATTAATTTTCATTGGGTTATACATTTATCAAGTTAGAGGGAAAGAGAGAGACATGAGGATGAACAATCCACAAAGATACCCTTTTTCAGAGAAAGGGCTTACTTCTTCTATTTCAGCAACAACTTCATCCCGTGCATTCTTCTTCAGAGAAGCAAACCTTTCACGTGTCTGGCAGTTTAGCAACTCAAGAATGAAATTAATAACAAAGTGAAGTGGAAGTGTTATCTTCCAATCGAGCCACCATAGGATTTTGTATATGAAATCTTCTAAGCATTTAAAAGGCAGTTTTCCACCTGTTTTAATTCAGACATCCCCATTACCTGGTCATAAGTGGATGCAGCTTTATCAAACCGGCGACGAGATTCCTGCAAAATTAGAGACGAGTAATCAGCATCATTAATGTCTAAGTACAAAAACTTTTATGTCAAAACCCACTCTCAGGCATCCATGTGACAGACTGACACCTAAAGTTGCGCTGGCCATGTTCAACAAACATTTGGTTAAATGACTAGCGNCCCCACCCACCCTCCAATAAAAAGGGAAAAGAAACCATCATTGTTGGGTTAAACAAACAAAGGATTAACTAGTACTCCCTCCGTTTCAATTTATGTGAATCTATTTGAGGAGTTCAAGAAAAAAAAGAAAACTTTTGAACGTGTGGTGTAAAATGAGGCACATATATTTTGTGTGACTATAAATCATTGCATAAAGGTAAATTGTTTCCAAATATGAAAAGAGTTCATTCTTTTTGGCACGGACTAAAAAGGAAATAGGTTCATAACTTGAAAAGGAGGGAGTATTGAATATTGGAAACAGAATTAGAGGGTAACCTTGGGCAGGAATAAAGCAGAAACGAAGAGGTTTACATCAAGTTATAAACAACGTAAAGCCTCCCTATTATACATATCAGTTATGTCTAGAACTGCAAAGATATTGTGCCTGTTCAATGTAATAGCAGCAGTAATAATAACTTGCTGGAATTTGAATCTGCTAAAGAACATGACTTATCCTGGCACTATAAGGATTGTTGTTGCAGTTGTGGTTATAGTCGTAGCTGTTGTATCAGAGCTTTGATGACAAATTACTCGCTACAGTAAAGTCTGGAGGAAGAAATTTCCTTGCCTCCCAACTTTTTGTCTAATGCTAAATCTGCCTGAGGTGTTCTTGTTGAGTGTTGCTCATAAATAGGGGTATCTCGTATCTTTTAGATTATCAAGTAATCAATACATCTCTTCCCTTCTCTTATTTTCCACACTTACAAACACCTGTAGGATTTTAGGGCCACATATGGGATTGATGTCACATATAACAGAAAATAACAGAAACAATTCATCAGATACATACTTATCCTATGTAATTGAGGCAATTTCCTCGCTAATATCTCAAATAGTAGGCAAAATGTAACATCTAAAAGTAGGAATATTATAAAAGCTCTTTAATTCTATAAAGCAAACATATAGAAAGCTTCGTCTAAATTTCCAAAACAATACTGAAACAGTGCCAAATGTGGTTACCTTTACATCCTGCAAATCAACAGACAAAAATTGGCTCACACGATCCACGAGCACATGTTCTACCTGCAAAAGTTATAGCTTGTCTTACTTTTTCAATCAAGTATATCTGAACAAATGCTGACAAATCTTTCACATAAAATGGAGCGACATAATCAGACAAGTTTAGCTCATCCAATGACAGGAGGTCCCAAGAACTTCATTCTGCAGCGTCAGAGAGAGCTCGTAATAGCTTGTTCTAAAATTGCAAGTCCAAACTATCTACTTATGATTCTCCACTTTCATGGCAGTTAAACGAAACAAAATTATTGGCGATCTCAGAAATATCAAATTTGGATTAGTTTAAATGGTTATACTTGTAATTATAGAAAACTCAATTGTGTATTAGGTTGGTGTAGAAAACTCCACTTCCACGGCAACTACAGAAAGATTTGGTGTTTGATGAGAATGGTTGTTCTTCCACTCAGGATGATGTTTCTATGCGCGTGGATCTGAAGAGAACAATTCAGAGCTTTACTGACAAATATTGACAAATCTTTCACATAAATGGAGTGACATAAAAAGACAAGCTTAGCTCATCCAATTACAGGAGGTCCCAAGAACTTCATTCAGCAGTGCCAGAGAAAGCTCATAATAGCTTGTTCTAAAATTGCAAGTCCAAGCTATCTACTAATGGTTCTCCACTTCCACGGCATTTAAACGAAACAAAATTAATGGCAATCTCAGAAATATCAAATTTGTGTTAGTTTAAGAAGTTATACTTGTACTTATAGAAAACTCAATTGTGTATTAGGTTGGTGTAGAAAACTCCACTCCCATGGCAACTACAGAAAGATTTGGTGTTTGATGAGAATGGTTCTTGTTCCACTCAAGGTGATGTTTCTATGCACGTAGACTTGAAGAGAACAACTTCAGAACTTAACTGACATTTTTCTTTTTTCTCTTTTTGATAACTGATGGCATATTACTTAAGAACAGAAGCAAGTAGGTGTTAAATGTATACAAACAAGAAAATGTATCACTTCCCTTTTTCCTATGTATGAAGCCAGTGAAATCCATCAAAACATATGTACCATTCAGGTTTTGAATTACACCAAAGCTAATAGAGCATGGAATTGGACTTCAGCCAGTGTAGAGCCTTAAATACCATAATCTCACTTGAACTTCAGCAAGTGTAGAGTCTCAATCTTCCTTCAGAGCACTTATGATTTATCTTTCTCTACATTCCCTACCAAATTCATGCTGGACTCCATATCTTCTGATGTGTTTATGAGCATTCCTTCCTCTCCAACAGAATAGAGTGTCTATTAGTGTCTTAGGCATTACCTAATGAACACCAAATAACTTAGAGATGTGTTCCGCCACTCAATGGAATGCATATAAAAAGAGATTATTAGGATATTCTGACTCTCTTCAACAGTTGGGACATGTTTTACACAAAATAACATGCCCTTTTCCAGATTATTCTGAGGGAGACAAGCTTGTGATCCAACCAAAACAAACAACTTTAAGGGCTGCTCGGATCTTCTAGAGCATTTGGCAAGACCACTGAGTTGAGCTGTTCCCAAGATTCAACAATGTGTTATAGCAGGCCTTCACTGTGAAGATTCCCCTTTTGTCACAGTTCATCAAAGAACCTTCTCTTTTTTTCAAGTTTCCCTATGATAATAGCCAGTCATTCTCCCAACCCTAAGGATTCCTCACGAATCTGAAGTCCCAACCATTAGTAGATCTGCATCCAGCTACGGTTGCTTCAGGATATGAGGCAAAGTTGTATAAATCTGGTATCCCTCAAGGGTGTCTGTCTCAGCCATGCATCATATTAGAATCTTATCTTTATACAATCACCCACCCTGAATTGTATTTTGATATGGAACCCATCCCACTGAGAACTTATTACCTCCATGATCCCAATCTGTGAGCTGTTGACACAGGTTTAATTCACCAAAATTGTTTGTTTAACTATTATAGGTGTATTCGAGTAAAACGGAACAGGGCACACACAAAGCAACAGGCTTTGATAGAAGAGTACAAAGTTTCTAACTAAAGGCTCAAGAGTAAACTACAGCAAAATTTACAAAGGAAACAGCAGTGGTGCATTCCAATTTGTTACCAAATAGAGAACTACTCTACTATACAATGCATCCACTTACTTGAGATCGGATAAGTTCCTTGTATGTAGCAAGCTCACGCAACGCAGTGATGAACTTCGTTATGATTGGACCTGACATATGGATGCATTTAGGAGTGAAAATAATCTTGACGTTTGATTCGAGTCAATACTAAGCTTCACAATGTGATCATGGAGAAAACATTATCAAATCACATTAGGTAACCGTACTTTGGAAATATAAATGGAGTAACAACAGACGATGTTTCCGTGTCAACTCCATCAAGTGACGCCCAGAACTACAGCATGAAATTTCACATTTGAGCATGCATAGTATGAAAAATAGAACTACAAACACTTTTTCTTTAATCAAGACTTCACGGAACTCTGATATATTAACAATTGGAGTTAGAACTTAGGAAGACCAACAAGCAACAGGGAATTGATTTTCTTTTTCTTTTTTTCTAATAACAGAGAAATCTCTGACAGCCAATGGCGCATGATTCAAAACTTGGTGGATAATGGTAAATTGATTATAACTTCCAACAATATAATGAACCATCACTAAATGGTGGTTTCGCTTCAAATTATGTTATATTCCAGCAATAACACGCCGCACAATCTTTAGTGCCTGTTAGATCCAACATACTTTTTTTCTTCATTTTGTTAATAGCTGTAATTTTTAATGACAAAAAGAGACACCCCTAAATGCCCATCACATACCAACTAGCAGCCTACAAAATACAAGCCATCCGAAACCCATCCAATCATCTATTTGAGTTGGCAAGTCTTCCATCCCACACAGCACCCAGAGAAAGAAACTAAAGAGGGAAAACAAAAAAACAAAAAAAGAACAGAGAGGGAGAGAGAGAAATATGTGTTGTTCTGGACCACCTATTACAATGTTGCCTTCTCAACAACATCCATGTAATATTATAGCACTAGGTGACCACTTTCAGGCTTTAAGTACTCTGACATCAATAGTGACTCAGGAGCTCCCTAAGAGAATGAGAGATGGCCCAGAAAGCAATTAAGAAAGCAGTGAATCCCTTTAGCTAACATGCCCCCTTAAGGAAGAAGAAAATTTGGTTTTCACATAGTTTCAGGACATGCAAGACCAGCTTATATAACCGGTATTTCTCCATAAGCTAATTGAGATCAGGCTTCCGTGCAGTGTTAATATACACATAAGAAGTCAGCTGTTTGGGGCCACAGAATTCAAAGAGCCTTGGCAGGGATATATTTTTGCATTCACGTGACGTCTCAACCAAATTTACTGCGAACCTCAGGGCGATCATTTATATGAGAATTCCGAAATCCAGCAACATTGAAGAGAAAAAAACACCTTCTTCAAGAAAATAAACCGCGTGCACAATGCAGTAATTGATAGTTGCAAATAAAATTAGCAAAAATGAGTAACTTTTTAATAGGTTGAATCAGAAAATTAACTAACCTCCTAGGGACACACTGAGAGGGTCATCTAGACCACCACCAAATGCCTCTAATGATTCGGCAAAGATGATATCCCCATTGTGCGCTTCTCCAAGAACTTCCCTGAAATAACAAATATCAATAATAGCCTTTACCTAAACCAATAAATGCTAATGAATAAATCAAATCTTTCAGACAGAACAAGAGAACGAAAATTTCGCAGAGCAAACAAATTTGGCAACAGCACATTTACATATACATTTCTGTTCTCTGCACATCGTATGTGTGTGTGCGCGTGCGCGCGTGTGAGAGAGAAAGAGATGACTGTTCAAAAACCTCTAGTTGTTAGAGAACCACTGCCTAAGGCTTGATGGCTAGAGTTACTTGGTACCTGTACTATTGGGAAGCAGGAGGTAACATGTTTTTGTGATGGTGAGAAGTAGCAAGTGCCCGGTGAAATAGTAGAGGTGCACGCAAGCTTGGCCCAGCTACCACCATCATTAATTTAAAAAAAAAAAAAAAAAAAAAAAAAGAGAACCCCCAATTTGCCAAAACAAATTATTTACTACTCCTTCAATAAAATTGACCTAATAGATTATAATAGATTGTGTACATGATTATATAGCCACCTCTAAATCTAATAGTGTGGATTGAAATGTACTTCATTGGACTAAAAATGTCAGCTTTTTAATCATTACAAGTTATTACAGTAAATAAAAGTTATTGGACTAACTGAATTCTGAAATGATAAAATTGGGTACTCACATGTACTTCTTACAGCCTTTGTATAGCTTTTGACATCGATCTCTGAGCTCATCCGTATTCTGTTCAACAGACCGCACCTAAAAAAACAACAAATTTTAGAAAAAATAAATAAATTTTACAACCAAAAAAAAAGGGAGAGAAGGGGATTAGAAGCAAAATCTAACTTGTTTCTGGAACATAGGAGAATCTTCCAGCTTAATAAACGCAGCCATTGACATATTTCTCTTTCGAAAAAACTCCAAGTTTTGTTTAGAATCAGAAACGGGAATGGATCTGTTTGATTTTGATTTTACTGTACTTTCCCAAATGAAGAAGCTTTTCTAGGATCGGATCTTAAAATCATACGTCATTTTAAGGTTGTTTTTTGGTAGGTTGTCAAATGCTATAATATTCATTGTTGAGAGTGGAATTATGTGTATGTGAGCTGGTTAAGGACCCTATTTTATTTTAATGATTGTTAAAAAAGAAAAGAACGAGTAAATATAATCCAAAATTTTACTGTTAACTTTATACATTAACCTTTTATTTTTTATTACAACAAAAACAAGGATCCTAAAGTAGTTGAAATTGACTATATGGATTCTCATTTATTTATAGTTCATATCACTCAATTTAAAGTTAGGTTATGTATGCCTTCTAAATCTTGAATTCAACTAAAGACAATGAAGATATCTAAATTCATTATGCTAAAATTTTCTTCATGAAAAAATGACCAACTTCAACATGTTACTAAAGGCGGGATCAAGATTTCAATTTTACAGGTTCTAAATCTCAAAACGACGATCACGTGCTAATAATTGTATTCTAAAATTAATTTTTTAATAAATTTCTTAATTCAAATATATTGTTAGAGCAAAAATTATTGGGTTCGACCGAACCCATATCCGAGCTTCTAGCTCCGCCCCTACACGTTACGCACTATATCTTTCAAGTAAGTAGTCCATACATAGTAAACACTTGCTAACCCTGCAGGTTACGCACTATCTCTTTCAAGTAAGTAGCCCATACGTAGTAAACACTTACTAATAGTAATTAGTTTTATATTATTATAATTGTGTAAGTATTTTTATACTGTATGGGTCAAAAACCGACCGAGGAAATTCAGCATGAAGAGGTAATTATCGTAAGTAATTTGCAATTTATCATGGGCGATTTGGCCAAGGTCGACCAGAGCTCAACGGAACAAGTCGCCAAGCGATCAACCACTGTCGAGATCGAGTAGGGCAGATAATAGTAACGGTTAGTTTTGCATTGGGATCTTCGGAGGGAATATTCTATTGAATATTCTCTATGTTTGTACTTTTAAGGTTCTGTGGGAAATACCCCATATAAATAGAATGGGAAATAAGGAAGGCATATAATATTCTAGGTGATAAGAACTCTTTTGAAAAGCAAGCTCTCTAGATAAATACAAAGAACACCTTTCTAAAGTGATTCGTCTTTTTGGGTTATTCCTTGTCATTTGCACCATATCCGATAAAGTCTTCAATATTCTTATAGTTGTCACTCGTCATTATCAGAAGAACGAATCATCCACCTCATTCAATATTGGGTGAATCTTCTTCTTTATTTATATTGAGCTCACTTCTAGCACATTATTGCATCCGACGCATTCAATATACAATACATTAAATCTGCATCATCTCTTTCTATATCTTTCACATCACTTACCTTAGATCTAAAGTTATTATATTTAACTAGAATTAACCTCTTAAATATCGATTAATTAGTTTAGCTAAAGATAATTAGAATTCCGCCCCTGCATGTTACGCACTATCTCTTTCAAGTAAGTAGTCCATACGTAGTAAATACTTACTAACCCTGCATGTTACGCACTATCTCTTTCAAGTAAGTAATTCATACGTAGTAAACACTTACTAATAGTAATTAGTTTTATATTGATATAATTGTGTAAGTATTTTTATACCAATGTTAGATAAAACTTAATTCTCTTTTAAAAAATATCAAACAGCTTTTGAAAATAAATGTTAATTGTTGCATTTAATATGGAAGGTGTAAGAAAAGTGGAAATAGGGGAAGTGAAGTGCTACAATTTATTAGATTTAATGTAGGTGTGATTTGGTGATCTCTCTCACAAACACTTGAAAGTTGAAAGCTACCACATGTTTTCTTGCTTAATTTTCTCCACCTCCTTTGTGGTGTTCTTGACTAGTAAGTAGAAACCACCAACACATTCACAACAACTAGAAAACTACTTGGCAATAAGAAGAACATAGAATATCATCATTCAATTGCATTATTTGCTATCTTATTTTTTGTGTTACTAGAAATCACCCAAGACCAAGACTATTTCTTTTTTATATATATAACCGAGAAATCTCAAAAACTAGTGACACGGTTCAAAACGCAATTGAGTACTTCGTTCGTCTTTCTATCCTTCTCTACTTAAATATTAGACTTTTGTCTGGAATACGATCTAAACTAATGACGTGTGCCCAGGGGCGTATCTAGGTTTAAGTATATGGGTTCACGTGAACCCATGCTTATTTCTCTAAGCCATGTATAATAATGTTATATTTCTTCAAAATTACGTAAGAGCACATTTGGACATAAGAAATTTTTTCCTTCACTTTTTTTCCGAAATCAGCGTTTGGTCATAAAATTTTCAATTTTCACTTGAAGATGCATTTGGGAATTTTTTGAAAATTTGAAAAACTCCAACAATTTGTTTTTGAAATTTTTCACTCAGATTACTCACAAAACTTCAAAAACAACACAAAATTATATTCATGTCCGAACACAATTCTAATTCTCAAATACCATTTTCACTTGAATTTTTTTTCCACTTTTTGTTTGGAATTTTACAATTCTTATGTCCAAACGGCCACTAAATATATGTGTGTGCACCCATGTTACTCCAGTGCAATAATTATTGGGTGCACCTCTACAAGTGAAATTAGCGGTTCAAAATCCACTCCGAACAATTTTGTTTTCGACATGGAGTATATATATATATATATGTGTAAAAATCAGTAAAATTTCAAAAAATATAATTTTAAACCTATAATTTCAAAAGTGTAGTGGGTTCAGGATAAGAGCCTAAAATTAAACTCGTCAAATGTGAATTCTAGATCCTATCTCTTTACAATAGCGCACCCATCCTCTTAAAATTATGAATCCATCTTTGCGTGTGCCTAACCTAGACATCACGTGCTACGCTCTTGCCACAAAACCAAAAACTATAGGGGCAGATTATCTCTTTCTTTCTGCAGCATGAAGACTATTTTATCAGCCATTTCTTTAGGAAGGACAATATTGAATGAAAACATGAAGTTGGATACAAACAAGAAATTTCCTAAAAAAGAGTTGGAACCTCAATTACAATTACATCCTCACAAAACAAGCTGGCAACAAACTTTTGACTCAGGAATGGATCTTAAACTAGTGAATGTCAATGAAGTGGTATAAAGCAAATCTCCTAGATACAAACAACTAAACCTAGAAACAAGAAAAATAAAAAGCCCTTGATCTTTACAAGAACTGAATCAACAAATCCATTATAACTCATATTCATTAATGCTTCAAAGAGACTTCTGCCTTTCAAAAGAATCAAGACACATTATTCAAACCCTTCAAAAAGTATACAACTCATATGCTCAAATGTTCGTCTCTAGGCAAGCTCTGGACAGTATCTGACCATCTTCCTGGTGAATGGTCACTGCTATTAGAAGACCCTTGAGCTTCTGCTCTAGCATCTCGAATCATCCTTAAAACATCCTTCATCGTGGGTCGATTCTCAGGTACAAGTGAAACACAAGCCATGGCTATGTTTAAGAGTGCACCAAGTTTCTCTTCTGAGGCTTCATTACTAGAGGCAGGTTCATCACCTGATTCAGTTTCTTCTTCTCGAACAGATCTCACCCATTTCGGTATGTCTGATCCATGTTCTTGAACAAGATCTTGGAAAGGGGTCTTTCCGGTTAGGAGCTCCAACAGGAGGACGCCAAAGCTATAGACATCAGCCTGATGGGTTACTGGCCTTCGAATGTCACGACACTCAGGAGCTCTGTAGAAGAGGGAAGAAGCACCGGATTCCTCTGGAGAATCTGGATTCCTAAATGGCATGAGGCCATAATCGGTGAGGCACGATTCAAAGTCAGCCCCCAATAGTACATTTGATGATTTCAAGTTTCCATGAGTCAGGCCAGGATTCTGATGGATATGAAGCAATCCAGTAGCCACATCCTCTGCAATTTTGAGACAGGAGGTCCAGTGAAGTGGCTTTGAACCACTATTAGCCCTTGACCCTGCAAAAGTAATCACATAGTAACAATATAATATAGTTATCATCTGGAGCATTATTTGATTAACAAAGCAAATTGGTTGTCGAAAAATACAAGAAAACAAGAAAATGAATAAAAAGGCCTCGGCTAATTTTAGATACGTTCTTTTCTAAAATAAAAATTGCCTCCCCCATCCCTAGTGATTAAAATTCTAAAACTCTAGAATTCCAAGCATGACTATAGAAACACGATGTACTGTAGAACTTCAAATGTGGTCTTACACGACTGGTAAGAAGATTAGACTACACGAGAAAAAACACACTATTTGAGGCGGTACTTCCATATATAATTGCTTGAGGCAAGAAGCACCTCCACATTCTTTTTGTTCCAACAAACTTAGGTATGCCTTTAGCTCTGTTCCTCCACAGTGCCTGAAATGGTCTAATGGCCTGAAAGAGTAACTCACATTCAATTCCTTCACTGCATCCTCGGAACTCTACTTGAAGAGACTAGCATCTAAACTACATGATTATTGATTATTCCCCAACTTGCTATTCCTATTCTAGAGTACTCCAGCTAGTGAATCGAGTATTCAGTATGTCAATTGGCAATAGTTAATAAGATGAATAACCTTTTTGTTCTTACTCGCTGGTGTAGTGTATTTCAGTTTTCCTATTATTAATCACATCGGACACACTCTAGAATACAACGGAATTGCAACTTCAGTTTATTTGGAACAGATCAACTTATAGGATATTTAGTTTTTAAGAAAACTAAAATCCCCACCCGTGGGATTATACTGGGTATGTTGTTGTTATTGTTGTTGTTAGTTTTTAAGAAAAACTTAGAGGACAATTCAAACTATAATCACACACACACATATATATACAGACTCCCTCTGTTTTATGCTATATGGCGATACTTGAATGCGATGGAGTTTAAGAAAGAAAGACCTTGGCACATACAAGAAGTACCCCTGGAACTTGTAGTACTAAACATGCAATGACTTTTGTATGGCTATAAGACGAAGTCATTAAGGGCAAAATGGGAGTTTAAAGTAAAAGCGTTACCAAATATAGAAATGTGTCATTCTTTTGGAACGAACTAAAAGGAAAGAGTATCATATAAATGACAAAGGAAGTATGTATGTGTGTGTATGTACACCACACATAGTGTTGGAGCTACCCTCAGTGAAAGGGGTTCAATTGAATCCCCATTGTTGGAAAACTTGTATGTGCCACATAGAAACAAAAAATTGCATGTATATAAACTATTGAATCCCCTTGACATAGATTGATATCTTAGGTGTGACATTTTTACATTTATTTAAATCCCCTTGCTCAAGTACCTGGCTTCGGTACTGACCATACACGTACATAAATACACACATGTATAAAGAGCAAAAGAGATGTATATGTGTATATAAGTACGTGTCCATGTGATGTATATATGTGTATCCGTTTTGTGTGTAAACAATTTGAACTTTATTATTTCTATTTTTCGATGAATCTGGAGAAAATTTTTCCTTTTCCAGGTCTCCTTGAAAGTTCAATGGTCAATTTAGTGATTAGCAGCATAGCACACAAATTGCAAATCAGCAGAAGGCAAACAAACTCTTACACAAGCAAATTCGAGCAATATGCAGGGTCATTACCGTTGTATCGTTCAGAACTCAAAAAACCAAGCAGAGCTGCTGATCCACTTTATAGTCAAGTTATTGCAGAAAACTATGATTTTGTCTTTTTAGTTTCAATGTAGCATGTGTTATCTCCATATGTGGTGGACAACTATTTTGGCTCTATGCACTATTTAAATGGCAAGTGACATCATTGTTTTGACCCCCAATTTGAGTTTTCTCTTCTCAAGGGACATCTTCACAATCCATTTGAATGAAAATCTTCTTTTTTCTGTTCCCTCCTTAAAATGTAAGTTTCAAAAGGCAGATATCTATACTCCACTTTTGTTCTTTGTCCTGTCTTTATAAATAAAATGTCATTCCTAGCTCAAAGGTTAGAAAAGGTTAGTTATTTGGTTTTTTTCTATTTTTAATTTATTAAATAATTTAAACAAAATAATATATTTCTATAATCCTCTTATCAGTATACCAAAGTAAGTTTGGGATTTCATCTCTGATTTACATATTATCCTCCTTGGGCAGTTAACCCAATTCCAAAAGAAATTTATCTCCATGCTTTGCCTCTTTTTTTGTCTCATTACCTTTGTTGGTTCCTACACTCTTCCCTTGTTGGCCCTCTCTTCCCCACTATCACCAAACAAGTTCCACAGGAGAAAACCAGAAAGTGATGCACTACCAACCAAATTATATGGCGAAAATTCAAAATTAGCAAAAAAACAAAAAAGAAAAGAGACAGAAAATCGAAGAAGATCAAATGAACATATATAAAAAAGCAAACCAATTCAAGGAAAATATGCAAAGTACACAAAGATAAACACAAAAAAGGCCACCAAATCCTCTAATGTTCCACAAAACAGGCAAGCCGTAAAGAGGTCACAATTTGAATTCTAAAACAAAAAGGTCATGTCATAAAAGGAATCAACTGTTCGAGATTGAGCTATAATGATCTCATGGAAAATTTTTGTCTCTGCGTGGTATTTGCACCAAATTATACTAGTTTACCCTTAAGAGGAGCACTGGACATTGATTAACTATCTTTAAGCCTTAAGCTTAAGCAATAACTAATTTGGTAAAAAACATAATGCATCTATTGATATATGAATATACAATGCTGTAAATAAGTTATTTCCCCTTATCTTAATTCTACCTTACCACTTAAGTTCAAGTTTATCCCGCCATTTTTCTTCCTTTCACTATTCACAAGCTCAAATATCCCATTTTTTATTTCCTTTCACTATTCATGAGTTCATTATCCTCGTTCTTACTTTTTCAATATTCACGAGCTCAATCTATCCGCGTTTTCACTTCCTTTCCCTATTCACGAGCTCAACTATCCCCATTTTACTTCCTTTCACTATTCACAAGCTCAATTATCCTCGTTCTTACTTTTCACTATTCACGAGCTCATTATCCCCGTGTTCACTTCCTTTCACTATTCACGAGCTTAATTATCCCCGTTCACTATTCACGAGCTCAATTATCCTCGTTCACTATTCACGAGCTCAATTATCCTTGTTTTCACTTCCTTTTACTATTCACGAGCTCAACTATCCCCGTTTTCACTTCCTTTCACTATCCACGAGCTCATTCTGCAAGAACAAATAACAATGTATTACAAATAAATGACTTAGGGAAAACATACCATGAATGAGGGAGAAGAGGCTGCCATTAGGGAAATAATCATAAACGAGCAAACGTTCTTCCTTAGCTTGAAAATAAGCTCGGAGTGGGACCAAGTTAGGATGTCTTAGCCTGCCAATAATCTCCACGTGTCGCCGGAATTCCTCTAACCTCGGAAACCTTGAATCCCTCAGCCGCTTCACCGTCACAATGTAGCCGGATTCCATCACTGCTTTATATGTACTTCCCATTATACCCCTCCCTAATGTCTCAGCTGAAGCCTTCAACAAATCCTCTAGGCTGTAATTCATTTGTTGATCCCCTGGTCCGCAGAACACCAATGCCCCTAGTCCTTCACTTCCTTGTTGATCCCATGAAAATGCCCCTTCTTTTCCTCCAAAATTACCACCACTGCCACCGCCGCCACTTGTCCCCTCTTCTTCCCTGCCGGCGGCAGCGGCTTCAATTCCTTTGCTTTTTCCTTCATTATTTTTTCTTCTTCTTTTTCTCACACATGCTATGAAAATCGCCGTCAAAATGCAGAGCAGCAAAACTCCGGCGAGCGCTGAAACGATGATAATGACAAGCTTTTTGTTTCTTTTATGGTGAGATTCATTGTAAGGACTAATAGGATACGACGGGCTAATTGAAGGACCAGAGATTATACAGTTAGGGTTTAATTGAGCTCCGCACAAATTGACATTTCCGGCGAAAGACGATTCGTTGAACCGAGAAAGCGCCGGAGTATTAGGGATTCGGCCGGAGAGTTGATTGTTTGACACATTGAAGAATCTCAAACTCGGTTGATTCAACGGCGGGATTTCGCCGGTGAAGTGATTGTCCTGTAAATACAGCACGTAAAGCCGGGATAATTTCGTTAACGACGGCGGAATTTCGCCTGACATATTGTTGCCGGCAAGTACCACAACTTTAATGCGGTGGAGGACGGCGATGGACGCCGGAAACTCGCCGGAGAAATTGTTATTATTCAGGAAAAGGGATTTGAGGTTGAAAAGTCCGGCGAGGTTAGGAATTTGGCCGGAAATGGAGTTCTGTTTGAAGGACAAAACTCGTAATTGATCCAATTGATTGAGGGCATTTTCGTCCAATCTGCCACTCAAATTTAGATTTTCAACTACAAGCTTTGTAACTCTTTTTCCATTCATGCATTCTTTTACACCTTGCCATTGGCATAAATCAGTCTCTTTTTTCCAATCAAGAATGTTTTTTGGGTCTATTGTGGCTTTCAATGCTAGTAAAGCTTCAGCATCTCCTGATTTTACAAGTGGGAAAAATATGGAAAATATTGTGAATATGAAAAAGAACATTTTGTGACATGAATTGTACCTTAAGTACAAAATTGGGTTCTTGATTCCCATCGAAATTGACAACATTTCCATTGTTGTTGAATCAATGAACACTGAATTGTTCTTGTTCAACTCTACAGCCAAAAGGGGTTCTTGATTTTCACTAAAGTTGGCATTTTTATTGATGAAAGAGCTCTGAAATGCTCAACTGCAGCAGTAAAAATGGATTCTTGATTTGGATTTTCATGAAATGGGCACTAAAAATCTCAACTGAAGAGTAAAAATGGAGTCTTGATTTGGATTTCCACTGATGAATGAAAACAAAAAAGCTCAACTGCAGAGTAAAAATGGAGTCTTTATTTGGTTGCACTGATAAATGAACACCAAATGGTTTACTGCAGAGCAAAAATGGAGTCTTGATTTGGATTTTCCATTGATGAATGAGCACTGAAAACTTCAACTGCAGAGTAAAAATGGATTCTTGATTTGGGTATTGATATATAGAGGAGGAGGAATAAAATGCAGTTTCTTTTTTATTTGGTGTTGAGGAGGACAAAAAGATCAGATAGAATCTTGAAAACTAAAAGATCCAAAAGACAATTAGCTTTCTGTCTAAAGAGTTTTAACAAGATCACTTTCAACACCAGAATCTTCAGATCTACCACTTTAAAAGAATGTAGTGAGAAAATGTAACAGAAGGCGCCAATTAGTGTCATTATCATCAATGACAACAACTTTGACTCACAACCTATAAATCAAACTTGACAACACCTCCAAAACACAACATATTTACACTTTGTTCACTGTGCTAGTACTTTCACTTTTAATGGAACCTAAAAAAAATTCAGTACCATAAACAAAGAGAAATGGAAGTAATAGTATAAAGAATTTCAAGATTTGGGGGGTTTGGTTTCTTGAATTTTTTTGGCTTAAACTTCACGTGACGGAGTTCAGAGTTTGCAGAGACACCCAAAAATACTTCTCATTTTAGTGGAACAATGATTTGGGTGTGTAATAAAATACATTTCTTTACTGAATTTTAAAAGGAAAAACACATTGGACAACTAAAAACATTTATTTGAGGGGTGTTTTTGAAGGTTGAAAGGCATTGGATCCAATTCAAGTTATATTATTTCTATAGTATTTTTTCTTGCAATTTGGTCTGTAACCATGTTATGTTACATTGATATCAGTCTTTATAGGATAGAGGGACGAGAAAACTGTAGAAAGAAAGAGACAGAAAAAAAAGAGAGAGAAGAGGACAGGTGGTTTTTTTTGGCTGAGATGAAAATGGGGTCTCAGGAAATAGGTGAAGAAATTGAAGGCGATAGTAGATTGTAATTAATGCATTCATGTTTGGTGACACGGGCAGTTTATTTGTCACAAACTTTACTCCGTTTCAGACATTGACCTTACTAGTAACGTTTACTAGACAGTGATGCTGTCAAAATATTTTCGTTTCTTTTTTGAGGAAATAATTTGGTTTCTTGGAATTAACTTTACAGCTTGTTCGGATAGTTATTAGTTATTGCATAGTATTATTATTTTAAATACAATGTTTGTTTTGATTGTTACTTAAATTTGACTGTATTGTATCGTTATATAACGACGAAAAGTGTCACTTTATGGAACGACGAATTTAGTGTAGTGGCATCGTTATCTTTTTTTTTCCTCTCATCTTGCCCTTCCTTATTATTAAATAATAATATTTTATCTTTTTACCCTACTTTTTTATATTATAATTCTACTCTTTATCCACCAAATCCCACTTGGAATACACCAGATCGTTGTTGTATTCCGTATCCTATTTTTTCTTAATAATATTACAAGTTTATTTTTCATATTATTGGTCCATGACAACATGAAATAACGGCAAACGATACAATCTATCCAAATATTGTATTTATCAAACAATACAATATGATATATTATGAAACGAGATGTAACAACAATCCAAACAAGTTGTTAGTAATGTTGACGTTTTTACTTTAAGTTTAATATTCAGTAAGAAAAAAAAATAGACTTGTTAAAGATTTATATGATAATAGAAAATATAGAGAATTTTTAGTAACAAAAAAATTAAACTTTTAAATGTTTGATTAAGACGAATTTAAATGAAATGACATGAATATCAAAAAAATCATATAGGGATAGTATACTCCACTTCTGTTGCATGTCACCACGATAATAAAAGTTCTCCCTATATGACCAAAATCGTCAATTACCACTAGTGTTCAACTGCTAATTTTAGATGGCGTTTCGTCAAGCAAATAATTTTTAAAATATCATATAATTAATATTTTCTATAATATTTATATGATTTACATATAAATAACTTGCATACATTCTGACCTTCGGAACAAGAAACAATCTTAATTATTTAGGACTCATTTGGTCATAGATTTTGCCAAAATAAATTTGAGTTTATTTGGCAAACACATGTTTGGTCATAGATTTTACCTACATTTTGGCAAAATCTCAAATTCCAAAACTAACTTAATAGCTGGTTTTGGGCCAAAATATTTACAAACACTAATAATATATATATTTTTCCAAAATAAATTTGGGAAATATGTTTTGAAAACTGATGTCCAAACATATTTTCATCTTTAAACCAAATTTCAACCAAATCAAATTTATCAAAATAAATTTGAAAATCTATGCTCAAACGTTGATTTAATATTTATAGAGACAACATCCTAATAATTAGAGGTGTATTATGAGTCAAACATCTTAATATTAAAATGATATTCGATATTTACATCATTTCAAAGTTATAACAATATTTGCACTACAATTAATCTTTTGCTCAGTATAACCATTCGATATTCAAAATCAACTAGTTCTACTAATCTTCGATCCCGCTGGTTAGATCAACTATTGAGGAAAGCACTACCTGTCGAATATTCAGCTAAGAGTGTGAGCACGTAAATTTTGCCCAGTAAAAATACTGTTGTCACTACTGTGTTAAAACAAAAATTATAAAATTGTTAGAAGAAACTGAAAAACTGTAAACGATAAGTAATATTCCGAGTCCACAATTTCTTTGTGCTTCCTTAAAGAATTTTAACCCTCTCACAAGTTGCGAAGGTAATGGATTAAATCCTCCCAGGATGAAACGGAATAAACCTTCCTGTAACAGTGGCAATACAAACTGCAGGATACCAACAAACTCAAATACGGAGCAAAATCACACTTACGAATTTGAAAGAGAAACTGTGAAGTAGAATGCAGGATTTTCAGAAGTAAGTTCTATATTTTTTCAGTGTCTGAAAAGGAAGCCATGCCTCGGAATTTATAGGCAATTATTGGAAGAGGTGTGATGTCTGTACATAATATGAACAGATATTTGAAAGGAAGAGGTGTCTATTCATAAAAGGGAAAACCAACGTTCAGCGTTTTGGATTCCAGTTAATTCCGTTAATGAACTGACTGACACTTAATTAATTCTTAAATAATCAATTAATTAAACTTCGTCAAAAAAATTAATCTCATCGATCGATCATTTTCCAAATCTGAAGCCGAAGCCGAGCGACGACGACGGCGCGAGGCTTCATTCTCTTCAACTCCTTTTTAAGAGCTCTAAGAAGTGATCCTATTTTTATACACACGTGTAGTTGTCCCTCGCCAATGAGGGACAAAGTTCATTTGACAAAGCTCACTTGATAAATTTTCCAAAATTTTCATTTCCCTCCATTTTATTTCCCACCATTTCCCAATTCACACTTCTAGTCTTTAAAGCCCAGTGACTTAAAGTCCAATAATCCCCCATATGAATGGGAATGACTGTAACAAGAATGAACATAGATGAAAGTTGTGTGATTGCAAGTAAGGATTAATTGCATCTGGATAAGTAGGTTTTCCTTTGAACTTTCCGTAGTGAGCATATGTCGGATATACTCGGTCAATCGGTAGATTTGATATCTTTGAACCGTCGAACTTTAATGTATACCTAGACAACCATATGTCACACAACCAACCCTTAACCGTCTTTTGGTTCTCATTGTTGTGGTCGTTTCAGCCATGAACATCGCCTGGTTTCATAAGTGCGTAGAGAATTGGCCTTACAGAATTCTCATTGAAGCGTCTTCCACTTCACACTTACATAGGTGATTCCTAAACGTGTAATCCTTTAGATTGACACTATTTGATAAATACCACATCAAACTTAGGTAATCATTAAAGAACGTGTAAAGTTCTATCCTTGTTACTGAATATTGTCTTCATCACGAGAAGGGACCAAAGATTTTACTTGGACAATGTTGAACCGGTCAATCACAACTTTGTTTGAGCTCCTTGAACCTAGATCTCGGAATATCCAAAATTCTAGGTAGAGTTACCGCCATTATGACTTGTCCTCAGCCATAGTCCCATTCCCTTAGATGATTTCTCAACTCTCTCTCTCTCTCTAGTTTGGCCTTTTATAAGCGGATACCCCACATTATCCTTTGATCTTACATAATCAATAATGATAATTCCATTAGAGAGTAGTTGTCTAACGGTTTTATGTCTTCATCGCATATGACGAGACTTTCCGTTATACATAATGCTCCCTGCCCGTCCTGTTGCAGCCTCACTATCGCAATGTATGCATATAGGAGCCAAAGGTTTGGCCAGAACGGAATGTCTTCTAAGAAATTTCGAAGCCATTCAGCTTCTTCGCCAGCCTTATCCAAAGCTATAAACTCTGATTCCATTGTAGAGCGAGCGATGCACGTATGTTTAGAAGACTTCCAAGATACTGCTCCTCCACCAACAGTAAAAACATATCCACTTGTGGACTTTGTTTCTGTTACACCGGTTATCCAATTTGTATCACTATATCCTTCGATAACCGCAAGATATTTATTGTAGTACAAAGCGTAGTCTTGAGTATATTCCAAATATCCCAGAACTCGTTTCATTGCCACCCAGTGATGTTTGTTGGGATTACTTGTGAATCGACTAAGTTTACTTATTGCACAAGCTATATCAGGACGTGTACAGTTCATGATATACATTAAGCTTCCCAACACACGAGCATAATCCAATTGAGACGTGCCATCACCTTTATTCTTTTCAAGATGATGGTTTAAGTCGATTGGAGTTCTTACACTTCTAAATTCCAAGTGTTTGAATTTTTCAAGTACCATTTTCACGTAATGTGATTGAGACGAAGCCAGACCCTGAGGAGTCCTCTGGATTTTAATTCCTAGAATTATATCTGCAACTCCTAAGTCTTTCATATCAAACTTACTAGCAAGCATACGCTTAGTAGCTTGAATGTCTGCAGTGTCTTTGCTCATTATTAGCATATCATCAACATATAAGCAAACAATGACTATATGATTTGGAACGTTCTTAATGTAAACACATTTATCACATTCAATAATCTTAAAGCCATTTGACAATATTGTTTGGTCAAATTTCGCATGCCATTGCTTGGGTGCTTGTTTTAGTCCATAAAGGGACTTAACAAGTCGACATACCTTCTTTTCTTTTTCCGGAACCACAAACCCTTCAGGGTGGTTCATGTAAATTTCTTCCTCTAGATCACCATTTAAGAAGGCTGTTTTTACATCCATTTGATGGATTTGAAGACCATACAAGGCGGCTAATGCTATTAGCATTCGAATGGATGTGATTCTTGTTACCGGTGAGTATGTGTCAAAATAGTCAAGACTTTCTCGCTGTCTAAATCCTTTGACAACAAGTCTTGCCTTTCATTTGTCAATAGTACCATCGTCTTTCATTTTCTTCTTGAAAATCCATTTAGAACCCAAAGTTTTGTTACCTGGAGGAAGATCAACCAATTCACGGGTGTGGTTGATCAATATGGATTCTATTTCACTATTGACAGCCTCTTTCCAATATTGTGCTTCTGAGGAAGACATTGCTTCCTTGAAGGTTCGAGGCTAGCAGGAAAGTCAGAAAATCTGGACCGAATGAAGTAGATGTTCTTTGACGTTTACTTCTTCTCGGATTTTCCTCATTAGGCATACCATCTGTTGTTTCCTCCCGAGGTCGTTTTGACTTTTGGTAGGACAATTCACTTTCCTATAGTTTCAAAGAATTCAACATTATCTGATTCTATAATCGTATTAACGTGGATCTCAGGATTTTCTGATTTATGAACCAGAAAGCGATATGCCTTGCTATTGGTTACATATCCAATAAATACATAATCAACCGTTTTTGGACCTATCTTAACCCTTTTAGGTTTAGGAACTTGTACCTTAGCTAAACACCCCCACACTTTGAAGTATTTCAAGTTGGGAT